TAATGGAGGGGAGCGTAGGATTGCACATCTGATCAGCTCTGACTGGAGTTTTCATCATGTAGATCTAAAACTGGAGGAGGAGTTTTAAATGTTTACAGAAAATTAAAGCAGGGGAGGGATTCTCATCTTTTGTTCTAATGTTCCTTAATTAAAATGATTCTTTGTCACGCTTCATTAATTTTAATCACATCGTTGTATAAAAAAAAAAAAAAAAAATGCTAACATCCACTTCAATAAGTGACGGGGGAAATTACTGTGAAATCACAGACTTTGCTGCTGCATATCTTTATATCACATCCAACTATTTGGCTGCAGTCTTTTTTTATCATTTTCATTTTCCCTTCTTAGTAAAACATTAAGTCTGATTAAATAAACTGCTTAATGTTAAACATTTCAGAAGTCAGACCTCAGATCTGAAAACCCTTCAACACATTAAAGATGGACATAGTTTTTCAATCATCTAGCTATTGATGCATTGGTTATGCCTGATTAATCAATAGTGTAATTAGGAAAATTACACTATTGATTATTTACCATTTCCCAGTCCTTGTTATTGGTGCACTGTCCATAAACGTATGCATGAAGCTCCCATAGAGATAGACAGAGAACCAGGCGTCTATTTTCCATGCAACCCCAGAAGCATCAATGTTTTATAAATATAACACCATAATCATGTAATTGTCAGAGGAACTTTATTAAATTTATATTTATTTATAATATAGAAACTATGTTTTGGGTAATTTGCAAAAAGGCTATGCAATGAATCAATATATAAATTATTTTTTAATTGAATTACTGCAATAAAAGACATTCATTACATTTTTTATTCAATGAATAAAAAAAAAATCATCAAGTTTTTTGCACACAGATGCACCTGTGCAACTATTTTTAAAATAAAGAGAATAAAAAAGGTTCAATGCATTCCTTTGTAAAACCAGGACTAATATGAATACAATATCTGTTTACAGTTATAAGCCAATGTCAAATATGGCATCTATCCAGGTTCAGATACAGCAGAATTTACAGCAGCAGAGGAAATTGAAAACACACTGGTATACAGAACATCTGCTCTTGAGAAAATTCTGCATTTTAACCAAATGACAGCTGCCAGCATTGATTTATCAACCACGTGATTCACTTAGGCTCGGCAAAAGAAGCACACAAACTATCAAAAAACCTGAAAAGCACATGTTACTCTGGCATAGAGAGCAAGGGCGGGTTTCATTTTATGATCGAACTGGGGCTGAAATCCGTGTGTATCCACACTACTTGACCCGAACTCATAAAACAGACATAAAAATAGGACAAAAGGGAAAAGGGAACTGTAAGGAATGGAACTGATAGAAAGGAAAAGGCAAACCATATAAATTCACACAATGTAAAGAAGAAAAGCAGTATGGCAATAAGAG